ACGACTCATGACATTCTAATGAACTTTAGACAGTGATGAGCCATGAGTGAGACTAGAGAACTTCACTCATGAGTGATTTTAAGTATTATATATATATATATATAGAACTTGTATTACATATTATAATTGGTAAATCATTATCAAAAAATGGCAACCCACAAGTTGGGTGGCTCAATACATGCATACCCAAAAATGGGGACTATATATAGGGTTGTGATGCAGGTCAAAATACTACTCTTGAGTAAAATGGGGACTATATATAGCGCTAGCTAGGGCCAGGACCAAGACCAGAGCGGGCCCTATCCGGCATGACTTGGGCCTATTTTTTTGCCTCATTTCTATTTTATTTTCATTTGACTCTATTAGGCCCAAACTGGACAAGGCCAAGGCTGGGTCTGGGCAAGGGCCCCTTTGGCCCGGTTTGGGCTAGGCTAAGCCCTAGCTGACTCTATAGACACCTGGACCAGGCTTGTGCTTAGGCGCGAGCTCGGGCTCAAGCTCAGGCCAGGGCTAGGTCAGCCCATTCCTGGCCTGTTGCTAGCCCTAACTTTAGAATGGATGTCAATATAATAAACAAAAGGGAAATTTATCAAAATACCAATAGGAGAGAAACTGTCCAACATTTCACCCATTCGCAAACTATTCCAGCTCATAATCATGTGTTTTTCTATGGATATTTTGAAATTAAAGAAAAATAAATAGGTAGAATGTTAAATAGTTTGTCTCTCATGGGTATTTGGATAAATTTCCCTAAACTAAAAGCTAGGATTACAAGGCGGAAAATAAATTCTCAAGATGCTCTATCATATTTCAATGTTCAAGATGCCTATGGCGGTCCAGGAAAAAATGAATTGCATGACGGGGGAGATTCTTTAGAGAAGATCAAACAAGCATAAACACCATTTCGTTGCACGGCCCTCAGTCGGTCTTATAAGGCTTGCAAGTTGCAGAGGTACAACAAGGCTTAGGCATTTGAATACTATTGGAGGAAACTTGTTGAGCACAAATATAGTTCAAATGGTAAAGGATGTGTCATTAAAACAAATGCCCATGGGAGCAAGGGTTTGAGGTCTATGTAAAGGAATTCTCTCCACTCCAGACAAATTTTCAAACTTGGGGTATGTTTTCTTCACGTGAAACAGATTGCTAATGTAAGACTATTTACATATGCAAACAGTTCACACGACGGAGTTTCTCACGCCTATTTTATCCCACGTTTGGTCAACACGTTAGGAAAACTTTTGTGTATTCAATTTCGCATGTTCGACTGCGAGAGAGAAGAGTGTATGGCTGGCAACAGGTCAGGCCTGGCCCTAGCCCCCCATAGGGCCAGCCTAAGCCATACAAGCCCGACCCTAGCCCTACCTAACTATAATAAAAGAAAAACCAAAAGAATAGAATAAGGAAAAAGGGCATGAGGACCGAACTGGGCGGGTTTATCATGGCCATGGCGTAGGCCCAACTCGGCCCACCCTCCGGCCACATTTTGTGTTCCAAGCCCTAGCTTTTCAAGGTCGGCCTGGCTCAATCCTAGCTGTTCATTACCAGTTCTAGGGGAGCATTGGGCGAGGGTTTAGAGATCAGAGAGAGACATTGTTTGCGTGTATGGCCCGGAATGGCCTCGTTGTCCTGGCATTAAAAAAAAAAGGATCTAAGCCAAAAAATATGTGACCCGAGAGCTAGCTGGGCTTAGGCCAAGGTCCCTTCGGCCAAGTGCAGGCCAGCCCTATAAGGACCCAGACCTAGGCCGACCCATTGCTAACACTATTTATGTGAAGGTGAGAGAGAGGCGAGGGTCATGTTCGGGCAGACCTGTCAAATACTTGAGTGGATATTAATGTTAAAAATTGGGTTTGCTAGGTATTGGTTTCACAAAAAGTTGCCACACAACTATTGTGGTGAGGAGTTGCTTTCATATGGAACATGCTACTCTGTGCTAAAAACTTTCCGTATGTGATGTGTTGTTGCATATTTTGTGCGAACCAAACATGTGTAATGTAGGCTTCATCTGAAAACAGTTACATGGTGACTGCTTTCACAGAAACCAAACATACCCTTCTGCTTTCACACAACCCAAACATGCCATTAATGAGATCCTATGTCAGGAAAGGAAGGCATATTAGATGTTCGAAATATCTTTTTCTGATTGGGAAGGTCCTTCTAGCAAACTCTTCTCCAAAAATTTTTGCCATCGCAGCGAACTCCAAATCCTATATTACTAATATGTATGAAGGGGCCTACGAGGAATCTCAGAGACCATGAGGCATTCCTCGTAGACCTTGAGGCCCAAAAATACTGAAAATTACATCATTTGGAACCCTCACAGTAAAGGAGTTTTCACAGTATTTTGGATCCAAACCTACAGCAAAACATTGTGTCATGGGCTTTTAAAGGCAACACCTCGTGCCTAAGCCTTTGCTCCGCTTGCCATTCTGACATGCAGCTTACCATAGCTCATATGCAACATAGGGGTTTACAAATCCCTAGAAGATGTATCATGTGCCAAAACCACAAAGAGATGGTTGATCACCTTCTCCTACTCTATGATATTGTAAGGGAGCTTAAGGCACAATTTTTGGAACTCTTTGGGCTCTCTTGGATAACACTGGATAGTGTAGATGCCCTATTCAAAGAATGGGCCCTTTCCTTTAAGATAACAAATGCCATGGAGACTATGCATAGCTGCTATTTGTTGGACTTTATGAACAAAGAGAAACAAAAGGACATTTGACAGCAGTACCTCAAACTCCTCTAAGATGGTAGAATGTACAACAGCTCAAACCATAGCATGGACACTCACCAAAAAGGAATCATGAGGTATCTCAACATCACAACTTACAAACCCGCGGCACTCCCTGATTTCACTTATAAGCCAAGACGAACTAGAACAAGAGATTGGGTACCTTCTCAAAAAGCTACCACCAGACTTAATTCTGATGGTAGGTCAACAAGAAATCCAGGCCATCCTAGTATTGGCATGGTATTCTGAAACCATATGGGAGAGTCTACAATCACATGCTAAGGGTTACTGAATCGACTGATCCTATGAAGGTAATATCATTATATTGCTCTTATCCAAGGTGACAAGAAATCATTGGGCAGGTTGACAACCAATGTTATCTCATGGCAAGGGAAGAAACACCGATCTTGTTGGGATGTATAAGCTTACAAGCAACCTTCGAGCATAACTGGAGAGAAGTAAAAGGGGGAATCTATAGGCTAGAAATGTTTAAAACGCATTTTCCCTTATAGTTTCAATTTTTTGTTCATCATGTTGCTCCGGGCTTTGTCTTGACAATGACAAAAATTTAGTACATGTCGGTTTTTTATTTTGCAATAGAGTTAAACTATCAATCAAAACTATGCAATAGCACTACCTTCTCTCTCTATATCATACAAAATCCCACTTTCTCTCACAATCTCCCACTACCTCCTCTCTCTACATCATATAAAACCCCACTTGCTCTCACAATCTCCCCCGACCTTCTCCTTCTATTGCATATAAAACCCCACTTTCTCTCACAATCTCACAAATAACAAAGCTTGTAAGAAATTTCCTTAATACAAATAGTTGTTTTACGTCATTCTAAACAAATCCTTGACCTTTTTTACCTGGCCACATGCTGATATTGTTATTAGTTGTTATGCATTTTGCATGTTTGTATACACCCATAGGTTCCTTCAGATATTCATTATCACAATTTAGAATATTGTTGGGATAGTTCACTACTTTGATGAATGTTTTGACAGATCTATACACTTACAAGAAACCTTTGGAGAGAAACAAAAGAGGGAATCTATAGGCTAGAATTGTTTGCAATGCATTTTCCCTTACAGTTTCGTTTTTTCCATTCATTATGTTGTTCAAATCTTGGTCTTGAGAATGACAACATTTTGTACATGTCAGTTTTTTATTTTGCAATAGAGTTAAAATATCAATTAAAAATATGCAATAGCCCTACCTTCTCTCTAAATATATCATATAAAACCCCGCTTTGTCTCCCAATCTCCCCCTACCTCCTCTCTCTACATCATATAAAACCCCACTTATTCTCACAATCTCCCCCTACCTTCTCTCTCTATCTCATATAAAACCCCACTATCTCTGACAATCTAACAAATAACAAAGCTTGTGAGAAATTTTCTTACTGCACATAGTTGTTTTATGTCATTCTAAACAAATCCTTGACCGTTTTGAACTGGCCACATGCTGATATTGTTATTAGTTGTCATGCATTTTACAAGTTTGCATATATATACCCATACATTCCTTCGGATATTCACTATTACAATTTAGAGAAGCAAGTTGAAGACTATTTGGTTTTTTTTTATGGAAGTTGAAGGCTATTTGTTATTCTTTGAAATTCATGGAAATCAGATATTTACGTCTCCTTGTTGTATTTTAGCAACGTCAAACAATTGAACCAAAACATTCCTCTATTTCTTTAATGTTTCAGACACCCGGTACGCAATATAACGCAGAATCCCATAGATAATTCAAAAAAAAATAAAAAAGTTATATAATCTGCAAATCCATCAAAGAACTTAATTTGATAGTGGAATATAATCTAACACTACACAAAATATTTAAACATCATTTATTCAAGCAGGAAAAATATAATGAATTCCTAAAACTCTTATACAAACACGCATCCACTTCAAAAGGTAAAACTTCAATAAGAAAATTACTCCCGAGTGAATACATTAGAAACAATGCAGGACAAAAGAAGAAGACCACGAAGAAGAAAACCATACTAATAAGAAATAAAAACCAAAGGAATGGAATCCAACAATCAAGTAGAAGACAATTGATGCATAATAAATTCCTATAAGATGGATGAAACAAACCCCAACAATCCAGCAAAAAGCAAGAGAGAGAAGAAAATCATGACAAAGCAGGGAGATTCAAAACATAGTGCAATTCAATAGGCAGAAGAAAGAAATAAACTGACATGAGCAAAGCAAAAGAGAGAAAAAGAAGAAGAGATCAAATAACTTACCGAGAGTCTTATAGCTTAGTAGTGGACTTCTTCTCGACACCAAGGACAATGGTGTCCATGCCCCTAACACCTATCGCAGCGTTTGCCTTGCGGACAGCTTCTAGGGCATACTCCACCTGAAACAGATGCCCATCCGGGGAGAATACAGTGATCGCACGATCATATCTAGCCATACTTCCTCTTCTTTCTCTCTCTGTCACTCTCTTGAGAATCCTTCATATCTCTCTCTTTATCTCTCTATAGGGGAACAACCAGAGGGGAAAGCAAGAAAACAAGAGAGCTACTGAAAATGCAGAAGAGCTTGAGAAACAAGTTTTTACTTGCTTTGTTAAGAGAACGGAGTGATCCCTTTTAAAAGGATGGGCGACTGAAAAGGACGGGCTTCTGGGACCGGGAAATGAGAATATTTCTTGTATGCAAAAGTTTTCATATTTTCTATCTCATAACTAACCCCCGGATCCTTTTTCCCAAAAATTTTTACCCAAATAAATATTGAAATGACACCCTATCCCTCTTTCTCACATCACGGTCTCTATCTAAACGCCATCTCTCACCTGACCATTTGGAGTCAACTTGGAGGTTGAATCCATAAATTGCAACTTAGCCCGAGCTATGAGCAGTGACCATGAATGCTATTGCTGGTATTGATGAGACAGTGCAGAGAAGGCAGAGAGAAGCGCAGATGGTGGCCGCTCGTGGTGGCTGAATCATTAGAGGTGGCTTTGGTGGTTTCTGGCATCTGGATTTAAAAAGGAAAAAGACAAAATATGGAAAAATTGGACAAGTTGACAAAAAAATGAAATATAGAGACAGAAACTGGGAGCGCTCACAGGAATCATGGTGGGATTCTAAGCCCTCTAAATGGCACCCGGATCCCCACCAGACTCCACCGCGAGGCGACCAAGCTCCATGACTGGCAACGGAGGCCACCACCCCATCTCATCTGCATCTCTCCATCCCTATATTTTCCCTAAATCTCTTTGTCCCTCCAATTTATCATAATCATGCTCCTTCTCTCTAGGGCACAAGGGAACCAGAAATTTCAGACAAGATCTCAGCTCCTTGGCTTCTTTTTTGCTCACTCTTGCTGCCTCTTCTTTGCTCTCGAGAGTCGAAAGCAGGTCCCCTGCAATCTTGTAAGGACTGGAGTCGTCGTCACTAAAAACACGAAGAAGTCCATTTTTTGTTGGGTGTGGGAGAGAGGGGGTAGAGAGAGAAAGAAAATAGGAGAGAGAAAGTTCAAAGAATGTGGAGGGGGTATGCTTCATCAACGAGAGCTGCATAGGCCGCCATTTCTTGCTTTTTCTTCAACCTCTCAGCTTTCACATTTACTTTAATGTTTCTTTCTCCCTCTAGAAATGTTAGTCAGTGGCAACTGGCTAACTTGCTTTCTGGATTAAGAATCTGATTCGGCAAGTAGCATATGATAAATTTTTATAATTGTTAGAGAGAGAAGATAACTTTGCGAGAGAGAAGATAAATTTTAAAAAGGGAAATTTTCTATGGGGCTTTGGGTTTTAGAGAGAGAGATGGGGGTTTAGAGAAAGAGATGTTGATGTGAGAGAAAGGGTTAGGTGGTCATTTTAATATATTTTTTGGGTAAAAAATTTCGAGTCAAAAGGATCCACGGATTATAAGATAGAAAATATAGATATTTTTCCTACCAGTAATTTTCTTAATTCTTGAGTCGGACGAGATAGATAAGTTAAAAAAGGGGATATTTTCGTTAAAGCATAGTGCCCTGTATTTAGTGTAGTATGTTGTGAGAACAGCGAGATGGAGAGTTTCCTATGATCTTGCATGAGCCACGGAAAACTTCATTTCGATCTACTATTCGCAATGGGACCGACCTAAGATTTGTCCAGATATGGGTCGAGGCTCAAACTTGGACCCAAACACTATTCGGGTCTAGAGGCATGCCCAAATAATAATATTATTTAAATATTATTTAATATATAATATTTAATAATATTTAAATAAATATAACCCATGTTTGTGGTATTTGTATGATCTAAAATTTTTCGCACACTCTCTTCATCTCAATAATCAATCCCTAAAAAAAAAAAATAGATTTGAACCCTAGATAAGGTCAAAATGAGTCACCTCCAACAACGAATCTAGACCATTCATTTAGTGAATTTCAAGATCTTAGCATGTGCAAACTCAAATCGCTTTTATCTTTTTTAATATTGTTCATCTAATGATAATAAAGTCATCTAGACAAATTGGAAAAGAAAAAAACAAGCCTAAATCTAACCATCTTAACAAAATGGACGGCCTATGTTAATTGGGCTAAACAAATAATTTCTAGGTTCTATTTTCAAAAATTTTTTTTTTGTGATTTTTCATTAGAATGAAAATAGTGTATATTTTAAACTTGAGCAATGATTTCATGTGACCGTTATATAGTAATATGATGCAACAACCTTAAAAAACCATCTTACGTCCATTTGTTTGATCCAAAATTTGAAATATACACTCTTTTCATTCTAATGAATAATCACAAAAAAAAATAAAAAAATTGAAAACACAATCTATAAAGCATTTTTTTAGCCTAATTAACATAGGCCATTTATTTTGGTGAGATGCTTAGATCCTAGCCTTAGAAGAATTTTTTCATTTCCAATTTTTTTTGGATGGCTTTATTGTCATTAGATGAACAATGTTAAAAAGGAAAAAAATGATTTTGAGTTTATGAAGGCTAAGATCTTGAAATTCACAAAATGAATGGTTTATATTTGTTTTTGGAGGAGACTCATTTTGACCGTATCTAGACTTCAAATTGAACTCTTTTTTTTTTTTAAATGATTATTGAGATGAAGAGAGTGTGTGTGCAAAATTTGAGGTCATACAAATACCACAAACATGGTTTCTATAAGTGTCGTTGCATTATACTATGATACAG